AAACTCCAGGCCAGAGTTGGGCGTGGTGGTACATGCCTTTAATATCAGCACTCAGGAGGCACAGGCAGGCAAGAGATAGCACTCAGTGAAGACCAGCTGGGGCTACAGGATGACCCTGTTTCAAAAAAAAAACAAAAAAAAAACCCAAGTACAAGATGATTCTGTGGGAGGGTACCTGTTACCAAGCCTGATGACCTAAATTCAATCCATAGGACCAATGTGGTGGACAGAGAGCAGAACAGAGTTCTACAGTACATCTTCGGATTATCATAAACAAATGAAGAAATAAATAACCCGGGCGTGGTGGTACACGCCTTTAATCCCAGCACTCAGGAGACAGAAGCAGGCGGATCTCTGTGAGTTCAAGGCCAGCCTGGTCTACATAGTGAGTTCCAGGCCAGCTGGGGCTATAGGGAGACCCTGTCTCAAAAAGACCAAAGAATAAATAATAAAAAAATAAATAAATGTAATTAAAAAAACAAAAAAGTAAAAGATTCTTGGTGATTAAAAAAATCAAAAAATGGAAACCAGCTAGAGAGATGGCTCAATGGTTAAGAGCACTGGCTGCTCTTGCAGAGGACCTGGGTTCAAGTCTCAGCTCCCATGCTGGGCAGCTCCAAGATCTGACACCTCCAGCCTCAGCAGCATCAGCACTCACATGCACATGCCCACACACAAACCCACACGTGTACACATAATTTAAAAAAAAAAAAAGCAAAAACCAAAAAAGTTCCACAGATGTTTGTGCGATAGGCACCACTCTAAACCTTTTACATTTACTACTTGATCAAATCCTTATTTTATTAGCCCATTTTTACAGAGGAGACACAAAGCTGGACGCGGTGGCGCACGCCTTTAATCCTAGTGCTGGGGAGGCAGAGGCAGGCCGATCTCTGTGACTTCAAGGCCAGCCTGGTCTACAAAACAAGTTCCAGACCAGCTGAGGCTACAGGGAGACCCTGTTTTAAAACAAAAACAAAAACAGGCACTGGAGAGATGGTTTAGTGGTTCAAAGCACTGGCAGAGGACCCGGGTTTGGTTCCCAGCACCCACATGGTGGCTAACCACTGTCTGTAACTTCAGTTCCAGGGGAATCTGATGCCCCCTCTGAGGCAGGAGAAACATAAATTAAAAATAATAAAATATTAAATAAATCAATAAAAAATAAAATAAATTAAAAAAACAAAACAAAACAGAGGTTACACAGAGCTTAGTTCAGCGACCAGTATACAACAAGTTCCAGGCCTGGATACAGAGCCTGCTGGTCCTTTAACATACTCCCCAAAAGCCTTCCCAGACCTCCCAACAGGAAATGACCTTTTCCAAGAGGAAATGACCTCTCCAACAGGAAGTGACCTCTCCAACAGGATGTGACCTCCCCAACTCTAGTGTCCCACACCCCTTTGAGTTATAAACTCCCACCAGCTGAGGCTTAGCTCTTAGCCAGCCCTTAGTTCTACATGGGATGCCAGTAGTCAACAAGCTTCAACATCTTTTTCATCATTTATAGCTTCCTCAAGGGTGCTGAGGAGGCCAAGTCCAAAACAAGGGATGAGCCTAATAGAAAGATTGAACCCAAGAGGTCCTCATCCCTGCAGAGCTCAAGACCTGAACATCTATTCCAGCCTCAGGGGTGTGAGGAGGCACTGGAACAAGGCGTCAACACATCATGCCTTCTACCAAACAATCCCTTCCCCGTGCCTCAGTTTCCTTGCTGGCATATTGAGGTTGCCTAGGAGAGTCCCCCAGGCATCTAGGGTAGCTCCTACAGGAGTGGGATCTGCTGAAATTCTTTACTCGAGAGAATTTGGGGGAACCTGGATATGCAGAGTCCCCACATTAAAGCTGCCCAGGCTTTAATTCATTTATCTGTTGAGCATTTCTGTGGGGCCACTTTGAAAAGTCCTGCCACTCAGGAACTCCTTTGTACCACAGGCATTTAGGGAGCCTCCAACCAGGACTGCTGGATTAAAGGACAGGTCCCTCCAAGCCTGGTGGGGACAACTGAGGACTCGGAAGAGAGAGATTCTGTTCTCCCTCCAACTCTGACTCCTGGGAGGGGTGACCTTACTCTGGGATATTAAGTTCCTCCTCTTCAGTAATGTACTGAATGTGCGTCCTCCCACCCCCAAACTCATACATTTAAACACCAACCCTCACGTATGATGTCACATACCTTTAATTCTAGTACTCAGGGAGCTGAGGCAGGAGAACTGCTACAAATTTGAGGTCAGCTTGGGCTACACTCCAATAATCCCACTGCTCAGGAGGCTAACACAAGAGGATCATTGTGAGCTTGAGGCTAGCCTGAGCTACAAACCAGACTCTGCCAAACTTTACCAGGGGCCGAATCTTCTGGTACCTTGATCTTCTGCTTCCCAGCCTTCAGAACTATGAGAAATTAACATTTAAGCTTTGCAGCCTGCAGTATGATTTTAGTGTGAGCAGACTAGGACACCATTGAGTGATGGGTCAGGGTACATGGCCCCACTAGCCTGGGAGCCCATCCTCCTCAGGGGGAAGCCTTGCAGGGCCACTTGAGGTTAAACATTACCCCAGCTCCTTCTTCCCTACCATTCTCTCTCCCCACAGAGATCAAACCATAAACATGGTTCCCTTTTCTCTTCCTCCAGGACTATGGCCTCTGGGGAGAAGTCGCATCTCCTGGCTGTCCACCATATTCTGGAAGTCATCCATCTAGGATGTCCAAGGAGGGTCCCCAGTGGGGAACCCTAGCTTTCCCCACTGATGTTTTCAGGGGTTTCATCATGTCCAGGTCTCCTCTAGGTCATTCCTCATGGAGTTCACAGGCTGACTTAATGAGCCCCTTAGGTGTCTGCTTCCAGTAAGTGGTCCCTGTCCTCCTGGTGTCTGGGAAACAAAAATAATTCCAAGAAATGGGCAGCCTTGCTGCTTGAGGTTACCCCACTTCAGCCTCTGTCTCCAGGCCCTTCAGAAGCTAGATGGCAAGCCTAGCTGTCATGTCCAGTCTCACCCACACAGGCATTATGACCATACATCAGTGATCCTGGACTCCAGACTGTCACCGAAAATCTCAGTACTTTATAATCTGGGAAGGACTTTCTCCTCCTTCTCCGTTCTTCCCCCACTTCAAACAACTCTATAAAATAGGAATGATTTCATCATTTCCAAAAAATGGATGAGCATACTAAATCTTTGGTCCATAAACCTGGTTGGCAGAGTGCCAGGGCTTAGAGTCAAGTCTTCCACCTCTTAAACACAGACTGGCTTGAGGCCTAGTTTTAGAGGGCCAAGAACTGTCATATTCAGTGCTGATCATGGCAGACATCACTAATCAATCATGGCATGGCAGAAACTGCTAATTGTAGCACTTTCATTTATTTTGATTAATTAATTTTTATTTTATGTGTATGAGTCCTTTGCCTGCATGCATGTACTATGTCCACGGAGGCCAGAGGAATGCATCAGATCCCGTGTCAGTTACAGGTAGTTGTTAGTCACTATGTGGGTGCAGAGGACGAAACCCAGGTCCTCTCCAAGAGCAGCAGCAAATGCTCTTAACTTCTGAGCCATCTCTCTAGCCTACTTGTTTATTTATTTAGAGACAGGGTCTCCTGTAGCCCAGGCTGGCCTCCAACTCTCTATGTAGCTGTAGATGGCCCTGAACCCCTGATCCTTTGGCTGCTATTTCCCAAGTGCTGGGGTTACAGGTCTGTGACACTACACCCAGCTTTAGTACTTTATTTTTTTTAAATATTTTATTTATTTTTATTTTATGTGTACAAGTGTATTGTCTGCATGTATGTGAGTGCACCTGTGTCATGCAATGCCGCAGAGGTCAGAAGAGGGGTCTGTAAGAGCAGTCAGTGCTCTTAACCTTTGAGCCATCTCTCTAACCCCAGCTTTAGTACTTAAAAAAAAAAAAAAAAACTTGGACATGAGGATTAATTTAAATATGTTTTCACATTTATTCACTTACGTGTCTGTGGATGTGGAGGTCAGAGGCCAACCTGTAGCAGTCAGTTTTCTCCTCCCACCATGTGGGTCCTGGGGGTCAAACTCAGGTCTTAGAACTCAATGGCAAATGCCTTTATCAGCTGAGCCATCTCACCAGGCCATGAACACGCCTTTTCAATCCTCTCAGAGGTAGTTGTGACTTTCTTAACACCCCAGGCCACCGACAGAAGATCCTATCCACAGTTTCTGCCATCCTTGTAATGCCACATCATCAGCCTGAGCCCTTGAGAGCCCAGCCCAACCCCAAGACACTTTCTTTTTCTTTTTTTTTTCTTTTGGTGTTTTTGAGACAGGGTCTCCCTGTAGCCCCAGCTGTCCTGGAACTCACTATGTAGACCAGGCTGGCCTCGAACTCACAGAAATCCACCTGCCTCTGCCTCCTGAGTGCTAACCCAAGTCATTGCTTATTTTTGCAGACATGCCTCTTCATTGGTCTCAGAGAGTTTGGGGTGATAATATTGTCTGAATTTCTATGTCAAGCCTGGAAGCTTTTTTATTTTTAGGTTTTTTGAGACAGAGTCCCTACTTTGTAGCCCAGGCTGGCTGTAAGCTCATGGATGATCCTCCTGCCTTCCTGCCTCTTCAGGGCTGGGATGGTTGCAAAGCATGCACCACCACACCCTGCCCCAAGCCTGGCATTTGTACCATCCAGCCCACATCTTTTATAGATGAGGAAACTATAAAGTTCAGAGGGGAGTGAGTCACATTCTCAGAGCTGCACAGCTCCAAGGTGAACTGTGAACTTGCCCCCCGCCCCACGCGCGGGCCCAGAAACCACAGGGCTCCTCCATGCTCCCCCTGAACTCTGGGGGCCCATTAGTTTCTCCTCTGGACTCAGGATACCATCCCCACACCTGACCTTCACTCTTCCTCCTTTCCACCCTCCACCATCTTCCTTTTGCGATAGGGCGCAACCGGAAGGCCAGTTCATGTTAGGAAGTTCCAGCCACGTGAGCAAGCTGGAGCCAGGGATTCTGGGCAGCCGCTGGCTTTAGGAGAAACTGAAACTGGGCTTGCTGGGGGCGGAGTGGTCACTGGGGATTTAAAGAGCCACCACTTCCTTGGGCCCCCAGAGGGTACTGGGAGGTCACAGCTGCTGAGGGACACCCAGGACTGGTTTGAGCCTCTTCCCCCCGTCTAAGCCATGCACTTACGCGGGGGTGGTGCACATCTGACTGGGACAGTGAGTACAGGGGACCAGGATTCGGGGGGTGAGGAAACAATGTGGCTAAGGGTCCTGGGGACCAGCAGGGAGGGAAGCAGTAGAGACCTCTGGTCCCAGCTCTGCATCATGGGTTGTGCGACCCCCTGGGACAAAGCTCCTCATTCCGGAACCTTCAACCGGGTTCAGTTCCTCCTGGGGATTGGACTGAAGCCTTCCTAGCTCTCACGTTACAGATAAGCCTCCAGCTTTGAACATGGCTGTGTGTACTAGCTCACTCTTGATTCGTTTGCCCTGATGCCGTCACTAGAGCTTTCTCTTCCCTCCTCTATCTACAAGCCCCCACCCCCCAGGCTCCCCAGCTGACTTCCTTTTCTCACTGGTTCTTTCCCCAGCCTCTAGCCTTCAGGTCCTCCAGGGTCTGAAGAGAGCCTTGAATAGGGTACAGACACTGGGAAGCCAAGCCACAAACCAAGGAGTGTGCAGAGTCCTCAGCCAGGGTGGCCAGGGTCTTGCCTGAGGTAGAGTGACAGGGCAGTATTGAGCTGGCCTTCTTGCCCTGACTTTCCAGAGCCTTGGTGTTTGAGCTCACACTTTCATTTAAGTGTCATGGTCACCAGGGTTGGAAGGCTCACAACTGTCAGTCACACATCAGCTCCTCTGTCATATGGACTCCCCATTCATTCTGTCTAGGGTTCTTTCTAGGAAGCTGCCTCACTTTCTCTCTCTCTCTCTCTCTCTCTCTCTCTCTCTCTCTCTCTTGTTCCCAATGCTGGACCTCCTTTTTAAAATATTTTATTTATTATTTTTATTTTGTGTATAGGTGTGTATTGCCTGCATGTACGTTGTGTACTTGGTTTGTGCAGTACCTACAGAGGTCAGAAGAGGGCATCAGATCCCTGGAACCAGAGTTTTGGACAGTTAACCTATCGTGTGGGTGCTGGGAATCGAACCCAGGTCCTCTGCAAGAGCAGCCAGTGCCCCTAACCTCTGAACCCTCTCTCCAGCCCCCTGGGGGCTCATCTAAGCTAGGCAAATACTCCACTACATTCCTGGACTCTCTTTTTATTTTTTAAGATTTTATGCAACTTTAAAAAAAATTTTTTTGTCTTTTTGAGATAGGGTCTCCCTGTAACCCCAGCTGGCCTGGTCACCATGTAGACCAGGCTGGCCTTGAACTCACAGAGATCCACCTGCCTCTGCCTCCCAAGTGCTGGGACTACAGGCATGTGCCACCACGCCCAGCTTATTATTTTTATTTTATGTGTATGCATGTATTGCCTGCATGTAGATATGTGCGCCCGTGTCATGCAATGCCCAAGGAGGTCAAAAGAAGCTGTGAGATCCCCTGGAAGTGGAGTTACAGACAGTTGTTAGCTGCCAAATGGGTGCTGGGATTCCAACCTGGGTCTTCTGCAAGAACAACCAGTGTTCTTACCGCTGAGCCATCTCTCCAGCCCTTCTTTTTTGTTTTTTTAAGACAAGATCTCATGTAGACCATGCTGGCCTCAAACTCCCAATAAGGATGAAGGGATGAAGATGGCCTCAAACTTCTTTTTCCTTCCTTCCTTCCTTTCCTTCTTTCTCTCTTTCTCCCCCACCCCCCGCCCCTGACATATAGCTCTGGCTAGCCTGGAACTTACTACGCAGACCAGGCTGGCCTTAAACTCACAGAGATCTGCCTGCCTCTGCCTCCCAAGTACTCAGATTAAAGGCACGTGCCACCACATTTGACTGCCTTGAACTTCTGATCCTCTGCTTCCACCTCCCAAGTGTTGGTTTACAGGCACACACTTTTTTTTTTTTTTTTTTCACTGCTGTGTCCTGGCTTAATGGCTAGCACATACTAAGTGTTTAATAGAAGTTTGTTGAGGGGCTGGGGAGGTGTAGTTCAGTTAATAAAATGCTTGCCTTGCAAGCATGAAGATCTGAGTTCGATCCCTAACACCCACTTAAAAAGCCTGGTGTGATGGCAAACAGATTACAGTCTAGTGCTGGGGAGGTGGAGGCAAACATCTTTAGGGCTTGGAGGCCTGCCAGCCTTGAGAAACCAAGGGAGGGGCTGGAGAGACGGCTCAGAGAGTAAGAACTGAATTCAGTACCCAGCACCCATGTCAGGCAGTTGTAGCCCACAATCTCCTGAAACTCCAGTTTCTGGGGATCCATTGCTCTCTTCTGGCCTCCTTTGATACCTGTAGTCATGTGCACATACTCATGCACAGACTTATACATATATACATGATTAAAAATAATAAAAATATTTTTAAAATAAGGTAGACGACTCCTGAGAATAATACTTGAGGTCATCCTCTGGCCTTTACACAGATGAGCACATGTGCACCTGCACACACAAAATATGCATGTACACACACAGCAAAAAGTTTGAGCAGGGTGTGGTGGCGCATGCCTTTAATCCTAGAACTCAGGAGGCAGAGCAGGTGGATCTCTGTGATTTCGAAGACAGCCTGGTCTACATAGTGAGTTCCAGGCCAGCTGGGACTACAGGGAGACGCTGTCTCAAAAAAATGAATTACTTAAAAATTTTATTTTAACTTATGTGTATGTGTGTGTGCACACATGTGGGGTACTTGTGAAGGCCAGTAGATTGCATTGGATCTGCTAGAGCTGGAGTTACAGGGTGTTGTGGGCTGCCTGACATGGGTGTTGGGAACTAAACTCAGGTCCTCTCAAAACAGCACAAGTTCTTAACCACTGAGCAATCTCTCTAGTTCCCACATAAATTAAAAAAAATTGGGGGGGGTCATTTTTTTGAGACAAGGTCTCCCTATAGCCCCAGCTGACCTGGAATTCGCTATGTAGACAAGGCTAGACTCAATCTCACAGAGATCCATCTGCCTCTGCCACCTGCCTCTCTGCCTCCCAAGTGCTGGGATTAAGGGCGTACCACCACACCTGGTTCCAAATAAACGGTTTTTTTTTATTTGTTTGTTTTGGGGGGGGATTCTTTTTCCTTTTTGGTCTTTTAGAGACAGGGTCTCCCTGTAGCCCCAGCTGTCCTACAACTAACTCACTATGTAGACCAGGCTGGCCTTGAACTCACTGAGATCTGCCTGCCTCTGCCTCCCAAGTGCTGAGACTACAGGCGTGCACCACCACACCTGGCTTTTTTGTTTTTTAATTTTTATTTCTTATTTTTATTTTATGTGTATGCGTGTATTGCCTACATGTAGGTAAGTGCACCCGTGTCGTGCAATGCCTGAGGAGGTCAGAAGAAGCTTTCAGGTCCCCTGGGACTGGAGTTTTGTTAGCTGCCATGTGGGTGCTGGGATTCGAACCCAGGTCTTCTGCAAGAACAACCAGTGTTCTTAACCACTGAGCCATCTCTCCAGCCCCAAAATAAATTTTTTTTTTTGGTCTTTTGAAACAGGGTCTCTTTGTAGCCCCAGCTGTCCTGGAACTCACTATGTAGAGGGCTGGCCTTGAACTCACAGAGATCCACCTGCCTCTGCTTCTTGAGTGCTGGGACTAAAGGTGTGTGCCACCACGCCTGGCAAAATAAATGTTTTTTAAGTGAGCATCAGCTTTGGGCCTGAGTTGAATGTGAGCACATGGAATGGCGTAAGGCCCTGGCCTAGCCTTTGCAGAGCTCTTGTGTAGGAAAATCTGCCTTTGGCAGGTAAAATGGCAGCCAGTCACTCTAAAGTGCCAGCTCCCTCCTTCTCACCTCTACCCTCCCTGTGGCCAGTTGGAAAAGCACTATGTGACTCTGTGTACCAATGAGGTGACTGAACTCAGAGAAGTGACTGCTGGCTTGGGAGAATGTGAGGTTTGAGGTTGATATAGTCTGGTTTAGAATCCCAGCCTCTGCTCTTGCCCTCGAACCCACGTGAGCTGTGAGCAGGGTACTGGCTAGGGCTGGCTTTGCAGTGAGGTGTGCAGTGTCTGCCAAGAGTTGTGGACACCGATGGAGGAGACAGGCTTTGGGAGAGTAAAGATTCTCAAAGCCTGAGCTTGGGAAGGACAACTTTCCAAATAGCCAATCAGGGTAGAGGGTGTAAGCCCCTGCCAGGACCCCAGAACCCTCTGTCTCCTGCCTCACAGGATCCTGAGGAGTGTCAGAAGCAGCTGAAGAAGAAGCAGAAGAACCGGCTGGCTGCCCAGCGCAGCCGACAGAAGCACATGGACAAGGCAGATGCCCTGCACCAGGTGGGAATGTCCTCTGGCTTGGTTCGTTTTCTGTTGCTGTAACTGAACACCACTACTGGGTTACTTATAAAGAAAAGAGTTCTATTTAGCTCATAGTTCTGGGGCCTGGGAAGTCCAGGAACATGGTCCAGCATCTGCCCAGAACCTAGTGAGGAATTCATGGTGCATCATGGACAAGTGAGGGCTTGTCACAGGGAAAGGGAAGAAGTGTGTCAGGGATATAACCCAATAACCCATGAATCCATTAGCCCATGAGTAGATCAGTCCATCCATTCTTCACAGTGATCTTCTTTTCCATACTCCATCCACACTGTTCATTTGAATCCATTAACTTATGTGTAGATTAGTCATCCTTCACAGTGACCTTACCATGCGTTTCTCCCTGGCTAGACTCCAAGTGCCATGAGGTCAGGGAACCATCCCCTTCCCTTCTGCTTGCTCTCACCCACAACAGGGTCTGGCAGAAAAAAACAAAACAAAACAAAAAAACGAGACCCCACAATTTTCTGTAGAGTAAATGACAGCATCAGGATGGAGAGCTCTGGAAACAATCGGTAGGGAGGACACATTCGTCTCTCTGGGCTGCCACACCAAACACCACAGACTGGTTTAAACCACAGCATCTATCTGGTGCTCTGGAGGCTAGGAAACTGAACTCCAAGATCAAGGTCCTGGTGCTGGAGCTGGAACTTAGGTGTTTGTTGGACAAGTACTCTATTTCTGAGCTACATCCCAACCCTTTACAATAAAAAAAAATGACTATTAATGCATGTGCATGTGCCACAGCATGGCATGTGGAGGTTTGAGGACAACTTTGTTGAGTCTTTTCTCTCCTCCTACTTTTAGATGGGTCCTGGGGATTGAACTTGGGCTGTCAAGCTTGTGCTGCAAGTGCCTTTTCCCACTGAATCATCTCACTGGCCTGACCTTGTTTTCAGACAAGAGTCTCACTGTATAGTCCAGGCCAGCCTGGAACTTGCAATCCTCCTGCCTCAGCCTCCTGTGCTGGGATTACGACTATGTACTGCCATATACATTTCTTGCTCTTTTCCTGTTCTTTGTTTTCTTTTTGTTTTGTTTGTCAGTTAGCATTTCATATAGACCAGGCTGGCCTTGAACTGGACTGAGGATGGCCTTGAATTCCTAATCTTCCTGCTTCCACCTCCTGAGTGCTCTGATTACAGGTAGGCACCACCATGCTCTGATCTACTCTTCCTCTTCTTAGAAGACCACCAATCTGATTGGCTCAGAACCTCACCGTTGTGACTTTATTCAACTTAAAAGACCTCCTGAAAACCATATCTATAAATACCAATACATTAGGGCTTCTGTGTATGACTTTTGAACAAGCACAATTCATTCCACAGTATTCAGGTAACAGCCTCAGGGAATATAAAAAGAGGTGAGTCCCAGGATGTGGCTCAGTGGTAGGGTCCTTGCCTAGTGTCTAATCTGAAGTAGCCCTCCCCACTACCCCCAAAAGAGGAAATCAAGTCTGAGGTGGTTTTGAAGGACCAATAGGGGTTTTTCAAGTGGATGTGGATAGGACAGTGCACTGGGGGCAAATGAAACCTCGCTGGTATGAATTTGGAAAGAGCATCACCCTGCAGACCCGCACCAGTGAAGACTGCTGCTTAAGGTGGTGTTTGTGAGACTGTGCTCATTTATTTGTTCCTTCTAGAACAGTCTGTTTAGTCTCTTGTGCTCATTCGAGGTCTCTCTCTCTTTGGTTTTTTGATACAAGGTCTCACTATGTAGCCCTTGCTGGCCTGGAACTCACTGTGTAGTCCAGGCTGACCTCAAACTCACAGAGATCCAATTGCCTCTGCTTTCCAAGTGGTAGGATTGAAGGCCCGCACAGATAAAAGCCCCACTTGCCCCAGCTCATATTCTTACGCAGAGACCAGACACAGTAAATGATCCATAAAGTATTTGGGATGGGCCAGCAAGATGGCTCAGTGGGTTAAGGCACTTGCCACCAAGGTTGAGAATCTCAGTTCCATTCCCAGGACTCACACAGTGAAAGGAGAGAACCAACTCACACAAGTTTTCCTCCAACCTCCTTACATATGCCATGACACACGTACATACACACAAATAAATAAATGTAATTTTAAAAAGTACTTAGGATATCAGATGGCAATAAGTCCTGGAGGAAAAATAAAGCCGGAAAGGAGTGAGTGGGTGACATAGACGTAACGAGGAAATCTGCACTAGCTGTGACATTGGAAAAGGCAGAAGGTGGTAAAAGGATGACTAGGTCAAAGAGTCCCTGAGTTCCAGGAAGTGAATTGAAGACTTCAGAGGATTAGGTGAAGGGTGATCTAATGGTGTGTTTTATTTTCATTTGGGTTTGGTGTGTGTGTATATGTTGTTCATTTGTTTGTTTGTCAGCATCTCATGTAGCCCAGGCTGGCCTCAAATTCCCTATGTAGCTGAAACTGGCTGTGAGCCTCTGATCCTCTTGCCTCCACCTGCCTAGTGCTGAGATTACAGGCATGTACCACCATGCCCAGCTCATGTGGTGCTAAGGATCGACCCCAGGACTTGATGCACCTGAGGCAAACAGTCTACCAATTGAGCCACATCCCTAGCTAAGATGGTTTCAAAATATCCTTTCTGGGGGTTGGGGAGATGGTTTAGTGGTTAAGACCACTGGCTGCTCTTACAGAAGACTCGGGTTCAGTTCCCAGCACTTACATGGCCTCTAACCATCCTAACTCCAGTTCCAGGGGAACTCTTCTGACCTCCGTGGGCATTGCATGAAATGGGTGCACTTATACACTCATACACATAAAATAAAAATAATAAATTAAATACTTCAAAAATATGTCCTTTCTGGAGATGTGGAGATGGCTCAGTGGGTAAGAGCACTTGCTGCCAAGTCTGAGGACCTGAGTTCCATCGCCAGGATCCATATTGTAGAAGAGAACCGATACCCACAAGTTGTCCTTTGATCACATTTGCACTATGCCATGTGACAGAGAGAGAGAGAGAGAGAGAGAGAGAATGACCTAAATAAAAAATTTAAATATCTTTTGCATATGCAGAAGTCAGTGTGCAAATGGGGCCACTGGTGGTTCTGAGGGCTCTGAACCCTGAGTGCCTATACCACATTTTATGTAGAATGCCTTTGCAACTTCTCCTTTTAAAGTGACCCACAAAGGGGACTGAAGGAAGTTGTTCAAGTTATTCAGCCTTATGAGATGTGGAAATAAAATTCTTTCTGTATTTTCATCATTATTATCATAAAAAAATAGCCATTTAAAAGTGCCGGGTTGGGGGCAAGATGGCTCTGCGGGTAAAAGCATTTGCCAGAGCCCACATGGTGGAAGGAGACAACCAACTCCCACTAGTTAACCTCTAACCACATGTGTGCCATGGCACATGCCCCCACCAAAAAAGCATTACAAAGAATAGAGACCCAAGCCTGGCATGGTGGCACTTGCCCAAGTGGGGTTCTAATCCAATAGAACTGGGTAGCCTTAGAAGGACAAGAAGGACAGAAGGGTGGAGTTGGGCTTGCTGTAATTCTAGTACTTGAGAGCTGGATGCAAGTGGATCTCTATCTCTGTGAGATTGAGACCAACCTGGTCTACATAGCAAGTTCCAGGCCAACTGGGGCTACAGGGAGACCTTGTCTCAAAAAACCCCAAAATATTTAATTAATAATAATAATAGCTGGGGTGGTGGCACACACCTTTAGTCCCAGCACTTGGGAGGCAGAGGCAGGCAGATCTTTGCAAGTTCAAAGCCAGCCTGGTCTACATAGTGAGTTCCAGGCCAGCCGAGGCTACAGGGAGACCCTGTCTCAAAATAACCAAACTAATAATAATAATAATAATAATTGCATATTGCTGATTGTCCCTGAAGATTCTCAGAACTTGATGATCAGCTGAACAGAATTTAGTAAATGCTGACCCCGGGGTACCCAACAGAATGCATCCACATTGCAAATCTGTGCAACCATATCCTGAATCCCCCACAGGGTCTCTGTTGGTGCCTTCTGGGCACCAGGGAGGCTGAGCAGTGACAGACCCAATGTGTCCAGGACAGAATGACATTGGCTTTGCCCCATGAAGGCCGTATCAAGAGTAGCATGGAGACAGAGTTCAAAGCATCCAGGCAGAGCAGAGAGGCAATCGTGTGGAGGAAACAGCTCCCAGCTGAGGAACAGGATGTGAGAAAGCAGGGCAGTCAAAACTGGTTGGTGGTCTGAGCTGGGGCCACCATACTGGCCTGGAGCCCAGAACAGAGAGTTTGGATCCTGGGAGTCTTGGGAAGCCTTTAGATGGTTGCAGTCTATGATTAATGACACAACCAGGCATGGTAGTATGTGCCTGTAACCCCAGTGTTTGGGAGGCTGACAGAAGGGAGGACTGCAGCGAATTTAAGGCTAGCCTGGATCATGTAAGACTCTGTCCCCCCAAAATAAGGGACTGGGGAGATGGATCAGCCGGTAAGTGCACTGTGCAAGTGTGAGGACCTGAGTTCGAGTCCAAAGCACCCGTGTTTTAAAAAGCCAGATGTGGCTGGCTGCATGTGCCTGAAGCCCCAGTGTTAAGGAGCAGGAACAGTTCCATCCTGGGAACTTACTGGCCAGCCACCCTAGCCAAAATGGCAAGCTCTAGGTTCATTGAGAGACCCAGCCTCAAGGGAATATAAGGTGGAGAGTGATAGAGACATCCAAAGTTCTCCCTGAGCCTCCTCATGCACTCCCATGCCCTAAACACACTCTTACACACGTGTACACACAAACCAATCAAACAAGACACACTCACTGAATGGGGCCAATGAAGTGATGTGGGGAGGAGGCAGTGGTTAGGAGGCCAGGTAGAGATCCTGGGTGAGAAGTGGTGCTGCTCAGGGGACAGTGGGCAGAGGGCTGGGCAGGTCCCAGCCCTGTAAAGATGTGAGGAGCATAGAGGGCTAGCCAGAAAGCAGCCAAGGGCTTCCATCTTGAAGTTCATATCCCATAGCAGTGAGGACTCTGGTTAGGGTTCTGATGCTGATGTGCCCCATGCTGCCTGTTCCCCAGCAGCATGAGTCCCTGGAGAAACACAACCATGCCCTGCGGAAGGAGATCCAGACCTTGCAAGCGGAGCTGGCATGGTGGGGCCGGACACTGCACCTGCATGAACACCTGTGCCACATGGACCGTGGCCCCTCCCTGGCTCTGCTGCCTTCTGCCTGCCCAGCCCAGGATGAGCTGCCACGAGAACCTGCCCCACATGGACACCGTGGCTGCCAGGAACAGCTGGACCTGTTCCGGACCCCTAACTCCCCACCCACAGCCCAGCAACTTGGTCCAAGCCCACACTGTCATGAGTCTCCTGGCCTTCTCCCTTCCCTGCTGCCCTCGCTGTCCTTTGACTCTTCGGTGGTGACGGTACCTCTGGTCCAGCAGTCCCCCAAACCTGTCCTGTCTGCCTCACCTCCTGGCTCCAGTCTACCAGGGTCTTTCTCTAAGCTCAGCATTCTTGTGCCCAGCCCTCCAGCCCAGCTAGTCCTTCCATATCCCCTTGGGCTAGAGCAACCCACTAAAGGGAAGCTGGCGTCCTCCCCCTCAGGCCTTCCAGCTGCTCTGGGACCTATGTGTCCACAGAGTGGGGAACACAGGCCTGAGTTCTCTGGTTCCTCAGCAGATTGGCAGAAGCTGGCCATGGATCCCGGTTCTCTGCCTTTCCTGAACTTCCCGCTGCTCTCTTCTGCAAAAGTCCACTTCTAGCTTGGAGCTGGAGGTGGGCTACCTTTCCTGGGTTCCCAAGGCAGCCTCAGCACCCAGGTAGCCCCTTCATCGCTGCTGGACACTGCCCTTCTTGGGTGACCAACTGGCATAAGATTTCACTGGGGAAAAGGCACCGAGTGCCACCACTGTGGCCAGCCCATCACTGCCACTAGCTGTCAACTTCACCGTTGCTCTATGGAGTGGAGACTAATATTCTGCTTTTTCAGATAAGGAAACGCTCAGAGAAGCCAAATGACATTTCCAAAACAACACAGCCTTTCTTTTGTTGTTGTTATTATTTATTTCTTTGGCATTGGGTCTTTTTGTTGGGGTCCAAAATACCTACATCTGCTCCTCTGGATGCGACTCTAGTTCAGGTGCCTGAGGTACTGGAGCATATGACTGTCTGAAGGCGTGGGGCGGGGTTGGAGGCGTGGAGGAGTGGGGTGGTGGTGTGAGGAGGCTGTTTCTGCAAGGTTAGCTTTCCAGGCTAATTCTTAGTTCCCTGCCTCCCTTCTCCCAAGCCTGGAGAGTGGACCATGCAGAGTTATCCTCTCCTTCACCAAATGAAGCAGGAAAGGATGGGGGGAGGGCCAGGTGCCATAGCTGGACTTGAACCTGGCTAGAGGCAATGGCAGCTAGGAGAACAGTGGGGTCTGAGGGACAGTTAGAGGGGTCTCACGTGCACTCCAGCACTCCAAGGTGGCTTGAGATAAGCAGGCTTTCGTACACAGAACTGAGACGCTATGTCAGAATTGGACTCACTCCTGGATGTAGAACACAGATCTCTGCACATAGGATGATGAATAAAGTATTTCCCAGGCTTTTTTGCTGTGGTGAGTTGTTGAAAACTCTTGTGTTGAAACCACAGGATCTTTGAAAAAAGAAATAGGGCTGGCAGAATGGCTCAATGGGTAAAGTGGTGGTAAAGCCTGGTGACATGAGTTAGGTCTCTGGAACCTATAGGGTGGAAGGATAGAATCAATTCCACAAAATTGTCCTCCCACCTCCATACATGTGTCGTAGTACATGTGCCACCCACCCCTCACTTAAAAAAAAAAAAATCCAGGCATGACGGTGCACATGTTTAATCCTAGCACTCAGGAGGCAGATTTCTGGGTGTTCAAGGCCAACATGGTCTACACAGTGAGGTCCAGGCGAACAAGGGCTACACAATGTGACTCTGTCTGAAAGAAAAAAAAGAGTTCCAGATTTTAGAGGGGCAACTGTTCATAGACTTTAAAATCCAATCTCTGTCCCATAGTAGCAAGTGACCAAACAAGCCCAGAAATGAGCTGGGGGGATGGGGTGATAGCTCAATAGATAAAGCAGTTGCCACACGTGCATGAGGACCTGAGTTCAAATCCCTAGAACCCAGGTAAAGCCAGGCCCAGGAGTGTAACCCTACAATCCCATCATCAGCTCAAGATGGGAGTCAGAGACAGAATTCCTGGATGCTCAGAGTACCAGCTAGCCTGGTGTGTGCAGGGGAGAACAAGAGATGCTGCCTCAAGGTGAAAAGAGATGACACCCAAGTTTGTCTTCTGACCTCTACATGTGCTGCGGTACACCTGAACCCGTACTCACACATATTACAGACACACACACACACACACACACACACGTGTGCACACACAGAGTTTGAAAACAAAACAAATAGATTTGCCCAGGCAAATTTTTAAACTTTTTTTTTCTAGTATTTTTGAGACAAGGTCTCCCTGTAGCAGTAGCTGGCCTGGAATTCACTTTATAGACCACGGTGGCCTTGAACTCACAGAGATCCGCCTGCCTCTGCCCCCCCGAGTGCTGGGATTACAGGCATGCACCACCATGCCCAGCTTAAACTTTATTTTTACTATATGTATATTGTATTTTTGCCTACATGTATGTATTGCTCCATAAGAGGGTGCTGGATCTCCCAGAACTATAGTTACAGTTGTGAGCCACATGATGTGGGTGCTAGCAACCAAAACTGAGTCCTCTGGAAAAGCAGCAATTGCTCTTAACCCCTGTGGCATCTCTCCAGCATATTACAATATACCCAGGCATAGTAGTCTGGGTTCTCACTCTGTAGCCCAGACTGGCCTGGGAACTTACTGTGTAGCCCAGGTTAGTCCTGAACTTGCATCAATCCTCCTGCCTCAGGCTCCTAAATGCTAGGATTACAGACACGAGCCATCATGCCTGCTTCTTCCCTGTGCTCTAATCATAAACCCTTAGCCGAAGAGTAGATATGAGTTGATAGACGTGAGCCAAGAGGGGAACAAATAGAAAGGGGCATGGTTAAGTTACTACTGGTCAGCTCACCCGACAACTGAAGATCTGCTTTGGAGGGCCAGTGAGATGGCTCAGCTGGTAAAGGTGCTTGCCATGTAAGTCTAGTGACCTGAGTCCCAAGAAAAGAAGGAGGGAACTGACTACAATGTTGTCCTCTGGCCTCCACATGGGTGCTATGGCACACACATCACACACACTCATGCACACATGCACATTGCTTTGGAGATTATGTAATGAGGTGAGAAGATGCAACCTATTAAGCATAAAAAAAAAAAAAAAGAATCTGGAATGGGAACTGTCACTATGGCTTAATCTTGTATTTGCTCAAAAACCAACAGAATAAATGGAGTGGGAGGAAATGTTGTGGGTTTCTGAGAGCAGCAAGTGTTCTGTGAATCTCCAGATTTGTAAACACAGCTAGCTGAATGGCATAAGCCTTCCATGAGGCTTGATATAGCCCGGAAGCCTCTGGGCCTCTCAGTGATCTGTTGCTATGTAACAAATTATTCCAAAACTTAGTGGCTTAGGCAACAAACATCTCTTTCTTTTCTTTTTTCTTCTTTTTTTTTTTTTCAGATAGAGTTCCTGCTTGGCCTGGAACTTGCTATATAGACCAGGCCAGCCTGGAACTCACAGAGATCTGCCTGTTTCTGCTTCCTGAGTGCAGAGATTACAACCATGCTTGACTTCAAAAGAAAATGTTTTTTCCACCTAGAAAGAGAGCATTGGCTGCTCTTGCACAGGACCTGGGTTCAGTTCCCAGGACCCACGTGGTGGCTCACAGCCATCTGTAACTCTAGTTCCAGGGGATCAAATGCCCTCTTCTGACCTTCACAGGCACTGCATTTACATTCATGCAGGTAAAACACTCATACACATAAAATAAAAATAAATGATTTTTGGGGGGTTTTTTTTTGAGACATCGTCTCCCTGTAGCCCCAGCTGGCCTGGAATTTGCCATGTGGACCAGGCTGGCCTTGAACTCAGAGATCCACCTGCCCCTGCCTCCCAAGTGCTGGGATTAAAGATGTGCACCACCATGCTGGGTTTATAAATAATATTTTTTAAAGCTAAATTGTTAAATGTTTTATTATTTTTATTTTATGTGTATGTGTATATTGCCTGCATGTGTGTAAGTGCACTCATGTCATGCAATGCCCATGGAGGTCAGAAGAGGGAGTTGGATCCCCTGGAACTGGAGTTATGGACAGTTGTTAGCTGCCATGTGGGTGCTGGGATTCAAAGCTGGGTCTTCTGCAAGAGCATTCAGTGTTCTTAACTGCTGAGCCATCTCTCCAGCCCCAAAGCTAAAATTTTTTAAAGGGTTAAGGATATGGTTTAATAATACAGTGCTTACTTAGCATATATAAAGACCTAGATTTACTCCCTAGCATTACAAAACAAATAAATATGGTGGCTAGGGATATAGATTGATTGGTAAAACGCTTGCTTAGCAAGCATGAGTGCCTGAGTTTGATCCCCAGATTCAATGTTAAGAAAAAAAACTGAGCTAGGCATGGTGGCACACGCCTTTAATCCCAGCACAAAGAAGCAGAGGCATGCTGATATCTGTGAGTTCGAGGCCAGCCTGGTCTATATAGAGACTTCCAGGCCAACTGGTGCTACAGGGAGACTGTGTCTCAAAAGACAAAATAAACAAAAACCTAAAACCAAAAAGCTGGGTGTCATGACATGTGCTTGTAATCTCAGTGCTGGCGAACAGCACCGGAGGTTGTCTTCTGGCCTTCACAAGCATGTGCTCATATGTATGTGCACATGTAAACACACATATACAAAGAAACTGTGGAGTGAGCTGGGGACATAGCTCAGTGGTAGAGTTCCTGCATGCATGTGAGTCCCTGGGTTCAGTCCCCAGCACCACATACACATAAAATGCAGACAGTTAAATATACTATAAAGAAAAGCACTGCTGTCGTGCATGGAGCACTCGGGAGGTTGAGGCAGAAGGATCTTGCTGGCTACCTAGACTATATAGTAAAACTCTGTCTCTGGAAAGTTCAGGGAAGGAATCTCCAGGGCATTGTCATTCGCAGTCAAGACCTGAATGGTCACAGAAGGAGCCATGCAAAAATCTGGGGCAGGAATGTCCCCGGCAGACGACAAGGAATGAAGATTCTGGGGTTAGAACAAGCTAAATGTGTTTGAGGAAGGGATAGAAGACAGATGTGGCCAGAGCTCCATCAATGGGAGGAAAGAGAAAGATGAAGTTGGAGCACAGGCCAGGAAATCATGTGACCACAGGAAGCCAACGGGATGAGTGAGCAGCACATTGTAAAGTCCCATGGATACTTGTCAACAGTCTTTGTCTTGGGAGGCAGAACAACTCAGTCATTAGAGAGCTCAGTTCCCATGCCAGACAGGAGTCTTGGCTTGATTGTTTTCTGACTCATTCGTGTGTGTGTGTGTGTGTGTGTGTGTGTGTGTGTGTGTATACATATATACTATGAATTTGCATAAGCAACATGTGCATATGCATAGATAGATAAATAGACATAGATATGTACAATGGTGAAACGTGCTCAGCCAAAGAACAAGAATGGAGCTAGGTTGGTGGTGTACATCTGTAATCCCCAGCACTCAGAAGGCAGAGGCAGGAGGACCAGAGTTCAAAGCCAGACTCAACTATATAGGCAGTAAAGGGAGTTTGAGAGCAGCCTGGGATAGTGAGATCCTGTTTCTTAAAAAAAAAAAAAAAAAAAAAAAAAAAATTGTGGTACATATCTTTAATCCCAGCATTTGGGAGGCATAGGCAGATTGGATCTCTGTGAGATTGAAGCCAGCCTGGTCTGCATAGAGAGTTCCAGGCCAGTCAGAGCTATATAGTGATCCCCTGTCTCAAAAACCAAAACAAAAAGTGCTTATTTTAGCAATATTCATAATGGGAGGAAACAACCCAAATGCCCATCAAATGGAGAACAGATAAATTGCAGAATATTTTACAGAGGCTACACAGCAACAAGAACAAACACATT